CGCTTTTATTATGACCAAACCTCTATAACTCTCGGTGTTCTTATTATTCCCTTAATGCTTTTATTTTTCTGCACTTTATTTCGATATATATTTATATTCCGCTGCTAAGTCTTAGAATTTTTTTTTTAACTTTGATATATCTTAAGAAAAGTTTTCAAAACCATGTATTTCCAAACCACACAATTCAATCCCCTCTTGTATTGAGTCTCAAGTCCAACACTCACCCCTTTGCTTTAATATTGTCCACCATGGACATCTTGTAGATAACTAGGATTAGAAATTGTTGTTGTTAGACGATGGCAACGTATCTAAAGAGGAGTTAATAGATACCTCATTAAAAATCCATAAGATTCTAGTTTTGAAAACTTTATTTATCAAAGATTTGAGCTGAAGTGTTTTTGGAAATAAGTCATTTGTACGAACAGTTATTGGAACCTCAGATATGCAAATGTAAAAAATTCAATATGGAATGAGATTGACCATTTGAATTAATAGCATGAATCGATTTACAACTTATATAACGTTTGTATTAAGTTACTAGTAATGTTATTTCCAATGACAACTAATCAAAAATCAAGCAAAACAATTTGTCAAACTGTGTGCAATTTATTTTTCAAATTTTTCCTTTAAGTTGTCTTGATACAAAAAGCACTTATAATCAAAAGTGATTATAAGCAATATCAACACTTGAATAAGAATAAAAACAGTCCATAAAAATTCTTACGAATTAATTGATAACACAATGCTATTAGATAAATTGATTGATGAAAACTAAAGCAAGTAAAAGTTCTAAGAAAAGAGACATGAGGATTTGTCTTCATAGTTACCCACTTTCGTCCTCGCGTGTGGGTACTTCTGCTCCTAACTGCAAAGAAATTAGGATAATTCTTACTATGAAAAAGTTGATACGAGAGAAGTGTTCCAGAGCAACTCCACAAATCCTAATTCTTGTTGTTGATTCAACCCCTTTTCTTCTTTTGATCTTGAGAAAGACCAAGACACAATATATCCCAATTGAGTTGTCGATATTTCTACTTCTTTGTATTATTTATCTCCAAAGCTTTCGCGCACGAACGATCAATTGTACCTGTTGTAACACAAGACTTTAATTATGATCTACCGTTCTCTCACTACTTCCTTTGTATTCTTTATCTCCAAAAGACCCCTTGTATTCTTTATCTCCAAAGGACTTCACTTGGCCGTAATCACATTTTGAATGTCTTACACGAAAACCCTCAAATCAACCAATGATCTTGGAGCATAAACCTGTGGTTTTTCCGGATGAAGACCCCTACAAATCTCAATCAAATATTCTCGGCTATACAAGAACCTAATCAGACGTTATCAAACCTCGTCTAGATGGCACCCTAACAAAAGAACGTTAGAATGGAATGTTAGTGTGTATGCATAGATTGGAGGTTGAAGATGAAGAGAAAATGTAGGCTAATTTTATGGTATCATCAAGTTGGAATGATGCATGAATGATGTATTTATAGTTTTGGAAATTTAGGGTAAAAAGGACTTTTTCAGAATTAAAAATATTTGAAAAATTGACCAAAACTATTAGTATGTGTCGACCTATAAATCATATGTGTCGAAACATACGTTAAGTTTAAACTGTATGTATTGACCTGAAAGAAGGTATGTGTCGATCAAAGCAAGTCAAAGGCTACAAGCTTTAAAACAACAGTAAATGTGTCGACCTAAAATTTATATGTGTCGACACATAAAATAGGAATTTCTTCAATTTCAGAAATGCTTCAGTATGTGTCGACCTATGCAATGCACGTGTCGACCTGATCCTTCCAGAGGCTACATGCTTCAAAATTGAGTTGCATGTGCCGACCTGAAAATCGTATGTGTCGACACATGCAATGAAAATTTATAAAGAAACTTGTTTTTCATGACTTGAATCAATTTCAAAATGCTTTTTAAAGGTTTCTAAGACCCCAAACGCAAAGGAGTGGCACAAGGCATAGAGATATCATTCAATATACAGAAATGCTAGCTTTTCCCAGTTTTAACATCACACAAAATATATAATGACAGAAGTTGTACTTACATACTCCCCCTTTTTTATTATGGAAAAACTTGAAACGATGCATTTCATGTAGTTGTCAAAGGATCCCCCTGACTTTGTGCTTCCCTAGTTCGTCTCACATATGCTTATCCCCCTTTGAAAACATCAAAATGAAAGATAGAAAACCTTGAGAAGTAACATAATTCAATACAAATACTAATATATCACTCAGAAGGGGTTTTGCATAGTAGAGCAAAAATCAAATATCCTCATATATATGTAATAATGTGAAATTGATAAATAGTCGGCAATCAACATTACAACAAATGTAATGTAATGCATAAATAATAAACACACAGTGAAATAGAAAATTTGTCAAGTTTCTTTTATAGCATCATGATAACGTAACACATCATAATGGAACTCCCGAAGTCACACACATATGTGCCTAGCATGTAAGAACAAGATTTGATTCTGTAATATAATCTCTGAGTTTTGATGATAACAAATGAGTATGTTTGTACGAACAATTTTGATACTCTAATGTTTGTTATTGTTGAGTACTTAGCAAACATGTTCCGCTTCTGATGGATGGTGTGGCCAAGACATTATAAGAGAATTAATTTCGCTTCTACGCTACACAAGTTCTGTTGAATAGTAGAAAGAAACTCCAGACGGCTCTGAAGTGTAAGCTTTGATGTTGTTCTAAAGAAACCAGTCAGAAGATCTAAAGACTCAAGTTTCCACTAAAGTCCATATGCTAAAGACTCAAGTTTCTAAAGACAGTGTGTTCCAAAGAAATAAAGTTAGAAGATCTGAAGACAAAGTTTCTACTGAAGTCCAGATGTTGAAGGCTTGTGTTTCTAATAATAAGGTTCTAAAGATAAGGGTTCTGAAGACTAAATGCTGAAGACTCTAAAGATAGAAGTTCTAAAAATTCTAAAGACTTGAAGTTCTAAAGATCCAAGGTTCCAAAAAAAGATTCTCACAACCAAGTGTTGAAGACTCTAAAGACGTAGTTCTGAAGACTCTGGAGAATTGAAGTTCTGATGACCTGATGTTATGTTCTCGTTTCTAAACTCATACTTGCAGAAGCCTCTGAAGTGCAGAAGGAAAGAAGATAATGTTAACGTGGTATAAATTGTACATGGTACAATCAACGTTTCATTTCACTATCATGAAAGGACGGACGTGTCGCACGATCTTGTCCCCCACGTTACTGTTCAAGTTGCCAATGTTTATGGAAATCCCAAGAGTACCCCTCAACAAATATATTACTTTATTGGCTATATAAAGGCTTGAAGACTAATAGAGAAAGCTTGCCAATTCACTAAATATTCATGCGCAAACTTTGTTCATAGCTTTCACATTCTTAAGTCATTGTTCTTAAAATAGTTTACATTTCAACTTGGTTAGAAGTAATACTCTTGTAAACAAAATTTGTATTCAAATAATTGTTTGATTTTCCTTAAGGGATCGGGTAGGTCTGTATTCTTAAGAAGTCTGGAGCTTGTGAGTTTTAGAAGTTGTTAGTCACTTGCGGGTAGCTTGTGCATTGTAATAATCAGGTTGATTATTGTTTGATATTCCTTAAGGGATCGGGTAGGTCTGAATCCTTAAGAAGTCTAGGGCTTGCAAGTCTTAGAGGTTGTTTGTCACTTGCGGGTAGCTTGTGCAAATTATAATCAGTTTAATTATAGTGAATTAAGTCCTCGATTGAGTGAGGTGAAATCACCTTGGCGGGTGGACTAGACTAGCTTGATAAATTTCAAGTGAACTAGTATAAACATCCATTGTTCTTTACTTCTTGTTCTTACTTATTGTTATTATCAAGAGTGAAGGAAAAATCATTTTAACTTAAAGGAGAATATTTTTAAAAGAATAGTTTTGTTTTAAAAACCCTATTCAGACCCTCCTTTTCTTATGTTTTTCACACCTTCATAGCATAGTGACAAAAATATGTCACTACTAAAAGCAAAATGAGAAATTATGTCATACCATGTAGCTAACACAATAAGAAATACTTATTCCAAATAACACGCATACAAAAAGCTCAAGCACAAGTACAAGAATTAATGAATAAACAAAACACATGCTTGTACAACAAGAACAAACTTATACAAATGTTAAAGAATTAATACATGAAGTCATTATAAGCATGTAGATTAAGAATACATAATGGTTATTAATCAAAAAAAATTGAGAATGAACATTCATGAATTTCATCATTGGTGAGAACATCAAGCATTTTTTAAAATATAAAACTAACATGCACTAAGGCAAATCTTATTTTCAAAGAGAAATTATAACGATATTACCTCACTTTTGAAGGAATTGAAGTTCTATTAACATGATGTAAAATACTCAAACAAAGCGTTAGAGTAGAGATATAAAGTGCAAACAACAAAAAAGAATGAAACAACATTAGAGATATCAATGATTCTCAATTCTCCACGTATCTTGATAAAAGGTTCGGTTGTGAGAGGTTTAGTGAAAATATCGACAAGTTGATTTTTAGTATCAACATGCTCAAACACAACACTTCCTTTTTTAACATGATCGCGAAGGAAGTGATGACGTATCTCGATACATTTAGTGCGAGAATGTAGTACATGATTTTTGCGGCAACTCAACATTCCTTTTTGATTACTTTTTATTGAATCGTATAGAATAAAAATGATATCAACTACTATTGATAAGCTTTTGCGACAATCTAAACCGTTGTAAGAATTTTTTCTTTAACGTTTTGGATATATATAACTTTTATATTATATTACAAAAATAAAAATATATCTAATCAAATGAAAAGAAAAATACAAGATAAAGTCAAAAAGAAAAGGAGGAGGAAAAGTAAATCCAAAGGTACTAGAGATATCGACCACATATATATAGGCCTTTTAATTACTTTTTATCCCAATTAATATATCCCCCTTCCTTTTGCAATGATACCTAGCCAGCATGAAAGGTCCTTATCATCTATCTAGCAAGGTGAACCTTTCTTACAGTTAAGTGTTCCAGAAGCAATAGTAATGGAACCCACAAGAGAAGATGGTCTTGCACTTAAACTAGAAGCTCTTGCATAGCTAGATGAAGTTCCACCACCAGAAGGAGTGAAAAATGCACCATTTAACATTAAGTCTCCTTCTGATCTCCAGTTCCAATTCTTCCATTCACTCTCTTCTGCATCTTCATACTTTGTTACCTCTTTGCTGAATCGAGCATCGGGTGCAACAAATCTGTTGCCTTGGCTGTTTATGGTGGGATTTGCACTTCCTCCAATAGCATACATTTCCCAGTGAGTATAGTCATTGTTCACCACATGGAAATATCCTAGTCTACACCTGAAAATTTTGACACATGATATAACTTTTCAAATTTGGAACTATAATTATATTGGTCCTACAAGATAATTTAGAATTAATCAATTGATTTGATAAAAAGTGATAGATTTTGACCCTTATAGATTTTTTTTTTCATCTTTAGATTAGCAGAAATTCGCCGCAATCACCGTATTGTATCAAAGTTACATATTTCTTTTTTAAAAAATATACTTTTTTTTTACAAGAAAAAACATACTTTTTTAAAATTTATAATAATTTTAGGAAGTTTAAAGTAAATTTAAAAAATATACCTTTTAAATTTTTAATAATATTTTAATAAATATATTAAATTCAAGTTTAAATGTTGTTTTTTATATGTTTTATTTTAGAATATGGAATCATTTCATAAATTAATAAACTTGATTTTGTTTAATATTTTTTTAATTCATAATAAAATCAATTAATTTATTTTCATTTATATAATATAAATTTTATAAAATATTTCATTAATTTTAGTTTTGAAAATAATAAAATATTAGACTTTTTAAATAGTAAAATTTCTATATTTTTGAAAATTTTAAAGGAACTACATTTTGATGATTTTATTTTCAAAATTTATAAGAGTTTAATTGTTACGTATTGTCATGGTAAATTTTTTTATACCATCAATACATCATAACTATTAAAATATATTATATTAAAGAAAATTAAAATAAAAAATAAATAGTTAAAATAAATTAACAGTTGTTATTAATTGACGATGTAAATTTTTTTTACATAATTACTGTATTTCAATTAAATTCGTTTATAATAAATTTTAGGAAGTTTAAAGTAAATTTAAAAAACTATAACTTTTTAATTTGTAATAATATTTTCATAAATAAATGAAATCCAAGTTTAAATGTTGTTTTTATATGTTTTATTTTAGAATATGAAATCATTTCATAAATTAATAAATTTGATTTTACTTATTTTTTTTAATTCATAATAAAATCAATTGATTTATTTTTGTTTATATAATATAAGTTTTATAAAATATTTCATTAATTTTAATTTTGAAAATAATAAAATATGAGACTTTTTAATTAATAAAAATTCTATATTTTAAAAAATTTTAAAGCGACTGCTTTTGATGATTTTATTCTCAAATTTATCATTTTATTCAACACTTCTCTAAAGTTATTTGTAAAGGTCTAATAAAGTGACATGATTTTGTCAAATTCTATGAAATACAAAACGTCTTTTTCTTTTGTCATTTTCGGTTTCCATGGAAAAAATACTGGTAAAATATTATTCCATCATAGTATAATTATTATAAAAAAAATATCATGTTTAAGAATGATTGAATAAGTAATATATTTGATTTATATATAAATAAAATATTTCAATTATTCAATAGTATTTAAAAATGAATTATTATTTATAATAAGACTAGAAATATAGTTTTAGGGAGTTTATAAAATATAAACTAATTTTACCTTGGCATTCTTTGAACAAGACCTTCGCCAAAGTGGTTAAAAGCAATCGTAACTTGCATATTTTTATCTTTAACATAGGAATCACTATGACCCAACAACATGACCTTATCATGGTGTGTCATATAATTGTTAGAAATTGTTATATCAGTGGATCCATAAATAGCATCAATCAAACCATCTTCACAATTAGACAAAGAACAATGATCAATCCAAACATGACTTCCACCAAAAATCGACACACCGTCGCCGTCCGATATCGTCCTCCACCCGAAATGCCGTGGGGAGTCCCTCACCATAGCATTCCCACCTTGTTTACAATCATGTATATTTATTCCATGTATGATAATATTAGTCACAAATTGTATAGTAATGCATGGACCACCAGCAATGTGGACACTAGCACCTCTCCCATCAATTGTTTTGAAAGAGTTCATGATTAATTCTTCTTTTAATTTTATCACCATGTCTCTCGCGAAGATTATCCATAATGGTTCCTCTTGGATCACTGCGTGACGGAGTGTTCCCGGCGTTGGACTCACCGGATTGTCGTCGCCCGAGTCGGTTACAACGTACATCTTACCGTTTTTTCCACCCATGGCGTTTTTGCCGAACCCAATTGCACAATCTGCTAGCCTTTGTCTGTTTTTCTCCCAATTCGAGTCACATCTCCAACAATCATCAATAGGGTTTCCACTTCCACAAGATAGGTACCCTAAATTTCTCCTAGTTGCAGAGGCATTAATTTTCCTGCAACAAAAAAAAATAAATAAAACAAACATATAAATAGGTAAATGTCAACATTATTTGCATGCAAAAATGTTGATACAATCAACATATTTGTTAAGAGTGTCCAAGACAGATTACCGTAAATTAAAACATGACACAGTTAAATTGTGGCCAAATATAACTTAAACTGTAGTTATCCTACAGTGAATATCTGAAAATTTAAGACTGTCCTGAATGCAATGTCATTTAATTACCTGTTTACTTCTTGGACAACCAATTCAGGGTTTTGGAGAGGTGACGAGGAAACAAGGGTAGGTATGAAAAGAGAGAAGAACAAAAAACCGAAAGAGAAAGGTGTGTTTGTCATGTTGGCTCCAAATAGATAGGTGAGAAATGAGAAAGAAAGGAATGAGAGAGGTGAGAAGTAGTGTACTAAGAGGGTGTGTATATATAAAGAGATTGTAAGAAAGGGGTAAATGGTGTTATTAAAGTAACATATGGGACCCAAATGTTTCCTGATTTCTGATTTCACGGGTTACTTTTGTTGGTAGATTTTGTTGGCCGTTAAGCGAGGCCTAAATCATGGTGGAAGATTAAAACAGACAAAATAAAAAAAATATAAAGTATAGTTATATAAACAGTGAAACCATGTTACTTTGTTTTCTTTTTTGTTAACCCTCTTTTTCTTTGAAAAAAATTAAAGTATTGATTAACTTAGTAACATTTTTAATCCAAAAACAAAGAAATGTATGTACACATATACAATTTGGGTCATTGACTCCTTTCCAATATAATTGCTCATCAAACGTACATTATCTAAGAAACATTCACTACTACAACGAAACTACGAAGAAATGTTTTTTAAGAAAGAATCATGCAAAATTGTCTCTAATAATCTCCATCTCTAACCTCAGCTAATCTTCCCTTTCTTCTCCCTCCTCTTCTCTCAGATTCTCTCGTCCCAGTCGCACTTTTTCCCTTAAGTCCATCATCCACTTTTGTGTGTCGTCTCTCAGTGTAGGTGTTTTCTTATCTGTTTTCGGTCTTTTGTGCTCGTATTCTTGCTCATCTCTTCGTCTCGGTTTCTCCCTCCCAGAACGCCAGTTTCTGTCTCTTGATTCCTTTTTTCTGATCCCAGATCTTTCTTCGCCTCTTCGTTTTGTTCTCTACCTCTCAGAACATTGTGTCCTTTCTTCTTCATTTTTTCATCATATTCATACGCTTATCCTTTGTCTCTTCACTATATCGAACCAAACCTGCAACAATCCTAATTAAGAAGAGCCCAACACCTCAGGATTCATTCTAGTGGAATCATGTATGAAAACTACAATCAGAGAACACATTACCGTTAAAAATTAAGAAAGGGGAAAAATGTCTGTGCTAACCATACCTCATCAAGATCCAACAACTTTCTCTAGTCCTCTGGCTTCACGGGCTCGGAACAAGTCACATGTCTCTCCCAGCTTCATGCTATACGAAGAAGTGGAGATTCAAGAACTGCAAACAAAAAAACAAATTCAATATTTTGTAAAATAATCACCGAGAAACTGATACACAGAAGATCAATGTAATTAGATCTTGCCAACATATGGTGAAATCTCAAAAATCCTATTTTACATTCTAGGACTAAACATATAGATATTAAACACTATTTTATTAGGGACTATATTCAGAAGGGAATTATTTCTTTAAAATTTATAGACACAGACCATCAATGGGCTATGACGTCTTCACTAAACCCCTTTCTGAAGATAAATTTAATTTCATTATGAATCACCTCAGAATAGAATTATGCCCAGAATGAAAATGTAGTTTCTGTATATTTATTCCTCAGAACTTTCTACTTTATTTTTTATTTTTGTGTGAACATCTGAACAATAGTTCTTCACAAGTGAGAAGGAAAGTTGTATCAGAAACTATCCAGAAGATCTGAACATTTTCCAAAAGCGTTTTATTTTTAAGATAGAAGTAAGCAGTTCACCATATCAACATCTGTCATTTCTAAAGGCAAGGTCACCCTCTAAGACTAAACACGTGTTCAAAATATGAAGGGACCAGAACGATTGAGTTGATGCATTGAAGCACGAGTCAAATCGGTAATTGTTCAAACTCTTCACGTTATCCCTCTTTTCAGAAATCATTAATGCATGTAATCATTGTTTTTATTTATTTTAATTAAAATTAATATTCTTGTTTTCTTCAGTTGGCTATTTATACCCCACTCTCTCACAAATACTCTCACATCTTCACTTTCACTCACCTTTCTCTCTTAATTTGTTTCTCTTTCAAAACCCTAAAAAGTATGTGAACAATTGCTTCCTCTCACCAAATTTATCAAGTTTCTCAAATCATTCCTGGTTCTTCCTCTACTATTGAAGAAAGGTACTTTAAACCATCAAGAACTCTTCTCACTCTTGTTGATTCTCTGGAAGTTCTATGTGAACTTATTGTTGATTTTGTGAGTATGAAAGATAATGGGTATGACCTAACGTCGGATGTTGCGTTCCAAGGATGGATGAAATACTTTAATCGTCTCATAGGTTCAGTTTTCCCAAAATTAGTGAAAGAATTTTGGATCCATTCCACAACTTCAAATCATCATGTAACATCTTATGTTATGGGAAAGAAAATCGTCATCACTGAAAATCTTATTGTAGGTGTTTAGTTATTGGCATGCATTTTTGGTAAAATCAGGTGTGTGAATGTCATGACTAATGTCATAACATTCTGATTTATTAGGTACTGGTTTATTAGGTACCTTTGCAGAAAAATAGTGGCATACAGGTACTGCTGTTTATGAGTGTGTATCTGAGCATTTTGCAAAAAGATCACATTTATGGTCTTCTCAGTAAACAGGAATTCTGATGTCATAACAAATGTTAAGACATCCAGTACTGATCTAACAGTAGTGCAGTTTGGTTAATTCTGAGATTTTTCAGGAAGTTGGCTCATTCCTTCCAGAACAGAATCTCCCGTTGTCTTTGGGTTAACCTAGCTCAACCCTAAACTGGTTGATAAAGTCTTGTGACCAAGTCTTATGGTTAAACCTAATTAACCCTAGCTTTTTGTGGAAACCCTAACTGAAGAAACAGTTGCTATATATTCAACAGGTCTGCTGTTTGGAAAATATCTTTTTGGACTGAAGATCAATCAGAAACTGTATAGTTTTAACTGCTGTAATCCAAGCAATTATCATTGTGATAAGTGACTTGTAATAGGTTTTGTTTATAAGGGTTTTTGTACCACTCAAAGCTTTGAAGCAAGAGTGTTTTGTGTCTCTTGACTAAAGCTTTGAAGCAAAGTCAAGTTAGGTTTATGTATCACTCAAAGCTGTGAAGCAGGAGTATTTGTGTTACTTGATTAAAAAGCTGTGAAGCATAATAAAGTGTATGTTTTGAAGAGTGTCTTCATTAATTCATTAGTCAATTGTTTTAAGTATCACTGCTGTGATTGAAGGGGAGTGAGTAGGAACTCAGGTTTAAGTAGAACTTAGATTGAAGTTGCATTGGGTAGGTCTTAAGTGAAGGAGATAAACTGGTTGGTTTATTCCTGAATTAATATCTCTTATAGTGGATTTCCTCCCTGGCTTGGTAGCCCCCAGAGTAGGTGTTGTTTCACACTGAACTGGGTAAACAATTGACTGTGTTCTTTACTGTTTTTGTATTTACTGTCTTATAGAAAGTCAGATACGGTGTCATAACATTGACTGTGACATTGAGTATCTGCAGCCAGAATTTCAATTGGTATCAGAGCAGGCACCCTGCCTGTATTACTGGGTGAGATCTAGGGATATCACTTTCTGGCACTATGGACAAAGAAGGAGTTTTTGGAAATAGACCACCCATTCTGGATGGAATAAATTATGACTACTGGAAACCTCGTATGATTGTCTTCTTAAAATCTCTGGACAAAAAGGCCTGGAGAGCTGCTGACAAAGGATGGAACCATCCCACCATAACTGAGAAAGATGGGACAATCAGTCTGAAGCCTGAGGAAGAATGGAGTAAAGAAGAAGATGAGTTAGCCCTGGGAAATTCCAAAGCTTTAAATGCCTTGTTCAATGGAATTGATAGAAACATATTCAGACTAGTACATCAATATAAACTGGCCAAGGAAGTTTGGGACACTCTCAAAACTACCCATGAGGGCACTTCCAAAGTAAAAATGTCAAGGCTTCAGATGCTGACTACCAAGTTTGAGAATCTAAAAATGATGGAAGATGAAACCATTCATGAGTTTCACATGAACATCTTGGAGATTTCCAACACCTCAGGAGCATTGGGAGAAAAGATGTCAGAAGAAAAACTGGTGAGAAAGATTCTCAGATCCTTGCCTAAAAGATTTGCAATGAAGGTAACTGCTATAGAGGAAGCCCAGGATATCAGCAAGTTGAAAGTGGATGAACTCATTGGGTCTCTTCAGACTTTTGAGATGGGGATCACTGAAAATGTTGACAAAAAGAACAAGAGCATAACACTTGTATCCAACACTGAAGATGAAAACAAGGAGGATGAAGAAGAAAATATTTCAGAAGCTATAGTCATGCTTGGAAGACAATTCAACAAACTCATCAAAAGAATAGATCCAAAGTCAAGGTCTAATGTTCATAACATCCCATCTGACATTGACAGTTCCAGCAGAAGACCAAGGTCAGAAGAGAAGGGAAATCAAGGCAGAGGAATTCAATGCCATGGTTGTGAAGGATATGGGCATATTCGAGCTGAATGTCCTACCTTTCTTAAGAAACAAAAGAAAGGAATGACTGTTACCTGGTCTGACTGTGATTCAGAAAGTAATTCTGAAGAAGAATCTACTAAACTAGTTACTGCACTAACTGGTGTTTGTTCCTCTGAAAGTGACACTAGTGATGAGGAAGTGACATTTGAAGAACTGGCTGATACTTACAAGAAATTGTGTATCAGAAGTGCTGAAGTCTGTGTGCAGAATGAGAAACAAACAAAACTCATCATAAAGCTGGAGGCTGAAAAAAGGGCAGACCTTGAAACTATAAGTCATCTAGAAGGGGAAGTTCAAATGCTGAACTCAAAACTGAACCAGATGACCAAATCTGTCAAGATGCTGACAAATGGAACTGACAAATTGGAAGAAATCCTTCAGGTTGGACAAAATATGGGAAACAAGTCTGGACTAGGATTTGTGGAAGCAAAGAAACCTGGTGCAGACAAGAAGATCAGGTCTGATAAACAAAGGTCAAAGCAGATGTCACAACATAACACTCAATATCGAGAACAGAAAAATATGAAGAAAAAGTACCAAAGATGGAGATGTCACCATTGTGGGAGGTTTGGTCACATAAAGCCTTTCTGCTTCAGATTGTATGGATACCCTAATCAGAACCCAGGTGTC